CTCTCTCTCTCTCTCTCGCTCGCGCGCGCTGTCTCTCTCTCCCTCTCTCCCTCTCTTCTTCTCTCTCTCTCTCTCTCTCGCTCGCGCGCGCTGTCTCTCTCTCCCTCTCTCCCTCTCTTCTTCTCTCTCTCTCTCTCTCTCGCTCGCGCGCGCTGTCTCTCTCTCCCTCTCTCCCTCTCTTCTTCTATCTTTTTCTCTCTCTCGCGCGCGCGCCCTCGCTCTCTCTCTATCTTTCTCCCTCTCTCTCTCTCTCTCTCTCTCTCTCTCTCTCTCTCTCTCTCTCTGTCTCTCTCTGTCTCTCTCTCTGGTGGAGTGTAGCGGGCTTAAATATAGTTAGATATATCATCATGGGTTAATAATGACAGATTTGTCATACCTTTTGGAATACCTTAATTACCTTACTGTAAATTTGAGGTTGTGAGGCATACTGCGCGTTATGTATCCTGCATATGTTAAGCAGAGTAGCACATCCTCCACTAACTTTCTAACTTTTTAACATCCTCCCGCCAACTTCCTAACTTCCTCCACTAGCAGCACTACAGGCAGCACACGCAAGGCACGTACATTTCAACTCACAGATACAAGCAATATAGAGATTTCATATAGAATGTGGTGGGATATGCATTGTGATATTGTGCGCTTAGAAATTCAGGGCGTCAGAATATCCACATAATTAAGGATATTATGAAGAGTATAAACATTTATTAATCAATGAATCTAATCGATCACACGTTTTGATTTATAGATAAGATGAATATATGCTCAAGCCGAAAAAAGCTCTCTAATATTAGGCATATATGTGATCTATATAGGCATGCAAGGCATGAATTAAGACAGAAGAATGTTTTATTACCTCCAGCATGGGGGAATTTTCGAGCAGCTATAGTAAAACAAGGTGTAGCAGAATATAAGGTAGACTTCAGGGTAATTAATATTATTTCATATTATTTCATGAGTAGTAATTAAGGGTGAAGCAGTGTATAATGTAAATTTACAAGCAGTGAGGGTAAATCCAATATTAGTTTTGAGGAATGTTGTCATTCTTGGGTGAATTGGCGATGAGAAAATAAACTGTCAAGTCATATAATATATGTTAACCGACATTCTCTATATTATCAACTCTTCACAACATCACAAACATGGTTTATGTTATAAGACCACAAACAAATATCTTATGTTACAGCTATGGGCAGTTAATCATACTGTCCCACAGAATTTCATAGCAAAATACGAAAATTCATGAAGTTTGTTTACTATATACAACGCTTCCTATGAATACAGATTCCTAGAACATAATTAATTTAAACTTCCTTCACTGAACATAATATGGAACAATACACAGGAAATACCGCGAAATACAATGTACAAAATCATTCTTTTTTACCACCATGACATAAAACCTATGGCATACATAGCCTATAAGTTCTCCTCACTGACCACGATGATACAATAAAATCTTGACAACAAGGCGTCAAATAATCATGAAATAAACTGCTACAAACATCAATTACTAAACCCTGAAAACACCCGGGTGCCGGGTTTGGATCACTCTTAGTCCGACTCCTCTTCTTTGGCTGGTTCAGCATGGTTATACCATTGCTGACCTCGCACTTAGAATCATAGGAGTACGCAAGCCCCCACACGACGGCAACGTGGTGATCCAGATTGTGGGGGACCTGAAAAAAAACACAAAACAACACAATTATGTTGATCCCTCGATGCTTGCCACTTGTCCGCTGCTTGTCCACCACTCGGTTGCTGCGTCCTTCGTCTGTTGTTCCGTTGATTCGTCCCAGCTAGGTGATCTGTGATCGATGTGTTCCCAACTGTGCTGATGACGTCAGATGACGCTAGATAAGGATAGAATTATTCCTGTTATTATTCTTGTACCACACACTGGAGTCTTTGCACTTTATACCATGTCTAGTATAAATTCATAGCCATAACTAACTCTGAACAACAAATCTAAAACAACGCACAACAACCCAACCCAACTCTCTCTGGCAAGTAACTATAAACAAGCCAAATAAACACACAAGACCATAATATAGGTGGAATGATAGATAATATTTAGGATTTAGGATTTAGGATTTAGGATTAGGAACTTAGACCATCGGTAGCTTAATGGTTGTGAAAGTTTCGTATGATCGTCAGACAAAACTCACACGGGATGAAAATGTTTGTAGAATCGTAGACTCCGGATGTCCGTAAAATGTCCTTCACGATGTCCAGGTTATCTGCGATGTATCTTCTGTGTCTGCGTCGATGTTGTTCTGTCCGCTGAAGTTGTGCTGAAGGTACGTACGTCTCTGTAACTGTGCTGATGATGGCTGACTGAAAAGTAATTGTATATAGTGATGAAAGTGATGAAAGTTCTGTATGATTGTCAGACATAACTCACGTGTGATGAAAATGTTCGTAGAATCCATCTGTCGTTAGAAGAAGGTCGTAGATTCCGGATGTCTATAAAATGTCCTTCATGATGTCCAGGTTCATTGGCCCAGGTTATTTGCGATGTATCTTCTGTGTTTGTGTTGTTCTGTCCGCTGAAGTTGTGCTGAAGGTGCGTACGTCTCTACAACTGTGCTGATGATGGCTGACTGAAAAGTAATTGTATATAGTGATGAATGTGATGAAAGTTCTGCATGATTGTCAGACATAACTCACGTGTGATGAAAATGTTCGTAGAATCCCTCTGTTGTTGGAAGAAGGTCGTAGACTCCGGGTGTCCATGAAATGTCCTTCACGATGTCCAGGTCCATTTGTCCCAGGTTATCTGCAATGTATCTTCTGTGTTTGCGTCGATGTTGTTCTGTCCGCTGAAGTTGTGCTGAAGGTGCGTACGTCTCTGCAACTGTGCTGATGATGACTGACTGAAAAGTAATTGTATATAGTGATGAAAGTTCTGTATGATTGTCAGACATAACTCACGTGATGAAAATATTCGTAGAATCCTTCTGCATGTCGTTGGTACAAGGTCGTAGTCGATGTTATCCAGTAACACATAGCCCAACTGCGAACAAGTAACTGTAACTGTGAATAAGTCAAATGCATGT